TTTGTTTTATGTTGGTTTGTTTTTTATTGTAAAGATCATAAAGCCAGCTGAAGGCAGTCATGGGATGTGGATATGAGAGTTCAATTCGTTTAACAATCTGTTTTTTAATATCATATAAATTTCTAAAAGTCTAGAGATTGTAATAATGTTTTCTGGGCTGTGTGAATCATGACTGAATTTTTAAGTGCTTTTTTTTTTCTTGTTTTGTTTTTTGTGTGTAATGAAGATTGAACCCAGGGCCTTTTTACTAAGCTACATCCCCAGCTGTTTCCCCACCACCACATGCCATGCACACCTTTTAAAGTTTTGTCTGTCTGTGATATTGTGGGTGAACTCAAGGCCTTTTCACTGAGCTATATCCCCAGCTCTTTTTTTTTTTTTTTTTGAGAAAGAGTTTCACTAAGTTACTAAATTGCCCAGGCCGAGCTCAAACTTGTAATCTTCATGTCTCAGTCTACCAGGGGGGTCTCATGGTGATTATTTATTTATTTATTTAGTACCCGGAATCAAACTCAGGCCCTTGCCCTTGTCAGGCAGGGGCTATTCCAGACCCCATGATGACTTGGAATTGAGCAGCGGTCTTAAAATTTGAAACCTGGTAATTAATGAATACAAGGAACGTGGGACCTTGCTAAAGATGTCCAGATCCTTGCACCTTCTGACATTGTACCCATTTTCTCCACCCATTTGAATGTGTATATATGTTATTTTGCCTTATTTCTAGAAAGAGAAGGTCACGGCTTTTTATTAGAGTTTTAAAGGACTCTACAACAAAAAAGCTTAAGTGACTTAGGATTTTGGTCTTGTGCTAATTCATTAGTATGTTTTAATCTTCCAAGGAAAAAAGTAGAGACAAAATAATTTGAATTACTGGTTAACTTTTTCCTATATTTTTTTATGTGTATGTGTATATTCATTCCTACATGATCTCAGGCTAATTAAATCCATCTACTTGATGAACAAATGGAAAATGCCTACACCAAAAATTAATTTCATCTCCTTCTTCTCCACCTCTGTCTGCTACTCATTTAAAATTTATAATCGTTCCATGTCCAAAAAGGATTTGGAATTGTACTTTTTTTAAAGACATATCAAATGCCTGAGCTTTGTGAACTCTCTTCCACTTGTGATCTTGCCTTTTCACTGAAACATCACAATTATGCTCCCTCATAGCGAGTTTCTGTATGTTTGTTTTCTTTTTCATTCCCTTTCCCTTTCTCTGGGTGTTAGATTTTCAGTTCCAGTTGGTGATAGGAGGGAGTGGCTGGACTTACATTTCATAGGCCTGAAAAGTGGCAATTTCATTTTCATGGTGATGGTGCAGTAAATATTTGAATTGAAGTAGGAAATACATACTATAAAATTATTTAGAGGTAATAATTTTTTGCATAATTTACTATTTACTTCAGAGTGAATGTCCTAATAAAGTTATTTGATATGTTCAAACCAATATAATGTTTGATTTTCCAGTACTATTGAATTAAAGCTCAAATTTCTTGTGAATTCTCACTTTAAAATACATTATGATAAAATATGAGGCTACTGGTTGCTATGTTTGGTTAAGAAATCTGTGTGACCATGCACATGACTGGAATGGTGAGGTATGAGCGCCAGTGGGAACTTAGGTCTAGCCCAATAAGCTCCTTGGAGCCCCTGAATGTCACTCACATGTTTTTGAGGACCTTGGTCAGCTCTCTTGTAGTTTAAAATTTTGAGATCTAGTGTGAGTTTGGATTTGCTAGAAGTATTTTACTGAAATTAACTTAACTCTCCATCCACCTCCATGGCTGGTGCAGAATTTTACTCCTGTGGACACTGTGGTCATTCAGAGCTACAATGTGACCACCTCAGCTCATGTGCTCCCATAGCTTAGCTGGAACTTAACTCAGTCCTGAGTGCTCTGACTCCTGGCCCAGAGTCCTGTCCTCCTACTTTTTACTCCTCAAAGGTTCCATCAATTTATGGGTGTCAGTTAGGGCTTATCAAGAAATGAGTGACAAGTTTTTGTGTTGGATTCTGGAGCTGCAAAAAGGAGTGAGACATTTGATAGCAACCTGCTCATGGACAGTGGTAGTAGGTAGTATCCACTAGCACTGTACTTTTGTGTTTTGTGTGTGTGTGTTTGACAGGGGATTGAATCCAGGCACTTCTCACTGAGCTATATTCCAAGCTACATCCCAGGCCTTTTTTCATTTCTTATTTAGAGTCAGGGTCTTATTAAGTTCCAAAGTTGCCCAGGCTGGACTCAAATCTATGTTCCATTTGGCTCAGCTGCCTAGAGTGCTGACAAAGCTTCTCCTTTTATCAAAAAAATGATGCTTTCCAAATAATTCTGTGCCTACTGCTCTTCCACAATAGCTATGTGGTAGCAGTGTTCTAAAACTAGATTATAGTGATGGTCAGTCAACTGTATATTTTTAAAGCATATCAAACCGTGTGCAGTTACAATGGGTACTTTTTATGGTTTATGTATTATACCTCATGAAACTTTTTTAAGGCAGGAGACACCTGCCCTTCTCCTTAACTTAGCAGAAATTGTAAGCATAAAACAAAATGGTTCTATGAAAAATTTTAAAGTGTACTAGTACTTTCTTGGCAATATTTTTCCACTATGTGGATTACGAGTTAGTTCTGTAGTCTTTTATTGACCCTCTTATAATGGGCGAGGTACTGGTGGTGACTGAGGGGAAAGAAATGACTCATATATAGGAAGAGGCTTTTTTGGGGTCGTGGAGGGTAGGTGAAGAGGCATGTTATGCCAAGAGGTGGTAACTGGAAGTTTCCTTTTTTCCTGGTTAGTTCCTCCACTGTAGGATGCCTTCTGCTTTAAGCAATAAATACACACCCAACCATAAAGTAGCGATAATTCTTTTACTAAGTCCTATAACAAGAGGTCCAAAGACGGGCTCCCTGAAGCTGACGCATTTGAGGCATCTCAACAGTTTCAGGGATCAGGGTCAAATTCTGTGATTTTCTTGGCTTTCCTCTCATAATTGAAATATGGTTGCAACAATACCAAACATCATCTTGTCTTCTAACAAAAATAAAACTGTTAAAAACAGAAAGGGAAGGCAACTATCTTCTTCAAGTCTTACTCTCTCTTAACCATGGAACAATATCCGAGGATTTCCACAGGGGATTTTCTTTTAAATTTCACTGGCTGCAAATAGGTCATATGCCTTTCCCTAAACCAGTCACAAAGGGGCGTGAGATTCGCAGTAGTTACTAGGACAGGATTTACCCTTTCTTAAGGCTGTAAGAGAGATCTTCCTGAATATAATGATCAAAGAAATTAGGTTTCTGTGAAGGAGGAAAGAGGCACAGATGGCTGCTGGGGACTAACCAGCACTAATTTACCATACTTTATTAACTGTTGTTTGACTGAAGGAAAAATATAACCAGCTTCTTCCCTTGTTAGCTATAAGTATCTAATATCCTTTGTAAAATGCCTCCATGATTTCTGTCCAAAGAATTAATCTTAAACCTGGGGCTCTGCAGGGCAGTTTGTCACTAATGCTGTAAGTGTTTGTGTTATTTTATGTTTGAGGTTGGGTAGTCGTATTTCAGTAGCATAGTCAATAGGAAAATGGGTAAGGAGCTATCATTATGCAATTTAAAGGTGTTTAAATTTTTCCCTCGCTTAAGAACAGTTGACAAATTGGGGAAAGTTTGTTATAATTAATTACAGAGAGATAGAATGTTGGTAACTATGTGGAGTGTGATCTTGGGGAGATTTTTGAACTAGGGCCCCCTCATTCAGCACAGGTTAAATGAGTGTAAGCCATCAGAAACTGGGAGTACCTAAAAGAGACTGTTTCCGACACTTGGATACGGGATATAAAGGATACCTCCATGCCGTTAGACAGAATGCAAAAGCATCTACACGGAAGTAAAGTGATTTCTCCTTTTTTTCCTCTCCATCTCTCTGTTTTATGTTAACCCTAGAACACAGTGTGTCTTGTATTGCGTATTTTCAAGCTGCCTTGATTTTATGTATCACTCTCCTTGATTGATGAGGTATTCACCAAAATAAAGAAATGCATTTTAGTAGTATAAAATATAGCAGGGACAGTATAACTGATATTATAACTATATATTAGTTCTAGGTTATGAGCTGTATGCAGGAAGTGGCCTAAGCCTTGGGAAACATCTAAGGATATTCAAAACCATTAAATCTGTTGACTTTGATGGAGAATAATAAACGCCTACTCTAGTAAATACTAATGTTCTTGATTTTTTTCTTTCTGCCTTCTGCCCTGAGTCATGAAAGCTCTTTTTTCCCAAGTCTTGATTTCACAAATCCTTTACAAGTGCTTTTACTGTCTTCTTAACCAGGAGTGTAGCTCAGTGGTAGGGATCTTGTCTAGCATGCACACAGCCTTGTTTTTGATCCTTATACCAAAAAGAAAGAAAGGAAGAAAGAAAAGCAAAGAAAAAAAGAAAAAGAGATCTGTTTCTGTCACTATTTGTGGTTGTTTGTGGTTGACATGTATTCACATACATCAAAATTTATCTCTTAAGACATACCATAATGAGGCAATTTTTCAGTTTTCATTTTTTTAGGTACTGTGTCAGCTTTGTAACATATATAAATTCCTTGTTTCTGATTTTATATTTGGAAGAAGACAGACAGATCTTAACTTTCTGTTCTCTGAAGATGTCTGCTTATGCATGCACCTGAAGTGTATATAAAATGGTACATGTCTGTTTTCCTCAGGCCAAGGACACGTTTTTGCTTTTTCTGCCTGAGAAAAGCAAAGCAGTCAATAACATTTCATGATGTCACACTATTTGTAAGGGGGAAAATGTAGAGAATAAATATGCATGAGCCTACGATGAGCACTCCTAGGGAGTTTTCTGAGGGTGACCCTTTATGTAGTCATAGTATCCTACCTATTATGAGTGCCTCCGCCTTAAATGAACACAAGAGAGAACAGTTTCTCCTGGGCCAGCTCATTTATAAAGCACCTTAAGGATTGTGTTTTCTCTTCTTCTTACAGCCAAGGATTACTGCAAAGTAATATTTCCATATGAGGCACAGAATGACGATGAATTGACAATCAAAGAAGGAGATATAGTGACTCTCATCAATAAGGTAAACCCTTAAACTGAAGTGCTTTGGGGTATCTGCAAAATAGCACTGGCTTTTGTTTCAGCCCTTGATACACCTGGTTTCCATCGTTTTGAACTTGTGGCACAGTTTTATGTCTTTCCTTTTGTGATCAAGCTGAGTCCAGATGAATGGATGAACTTGAAAACTGAATAGATTCCTGTTAGATCTGGTTTAAACTGCCGATTTACATGACCTTGCAGAAAAGTGTGTCCCAGAAGGAATAATCCAGAAGGCAGCTTGCTCAGTCACAGACTTTGCCCTCCACAGCAGCCAGGCTGCAGAGCTATGTCATAGGGGACTGATAGAATGCCTTTGAAGAGGCTGGTCATGCCTCATAGGCAGCAAATGCTTAAAGAATATTTGCTGTTCAAGATCAAGGACAGATAGAATGCCTGAGAGAATTTTATTTTTCTTATTTGGACTAAGAAGGTTGGATGATTTTTTATCATTATAACCAGAGAGCCCCTTAAACACCAGGAGAGCTATAAAATCTGTGTAGAGATGCAGTTTACCAAGATCTTGACCATGAACACTTTCTCCTCTCGTACTCATCAAGTCAGTAGTTGAAAGTCATGTTATTGAAGTGATTCCTAGAACCTTTTCTCTGAAGTACAGGGTTTTTATATAGAAGGTGGTTTTATTCTGGTATCTAGATATGTGTGTAATTTCGTATGTAAAGTGTGACTTGGAGATCACCATGGCACCTGAGCTCTTGCAAGGCTAAGAAACACTGGTTGTGGTGCAGGGTGCAGAGAAAGGAGAGAGGAAGCAGGGGACTAGGGTAGAGAGAAGGGACCTCAGTGTTGTCTACCGTTACCCCTGAGTTTGTCCATACATGATTGATAGCGTTTACCTTTATGCCCAAAGATTGTTACTTCTAGGAAACAGTTTTGGAGATTTTGTGTTTGAAAGCCTAACCCAAAGATGCCAGTGAACTAAGTAGCTTGCCAAAGGTCAGGCACATTTTAGGGAGAGAGCAGGCCCCTCATGGACTCCATGTGAAAGTGGTATGCTAAACAATACTAGAGCTACACACTTTTCTGGAGTAGCAAATTACACCCTGCCTTGCAGATCACCCAAGAACCCATCCATCTTTTTACCTGCAAATTACTGTCCCTTTAAGTTATTTCAGTATAGCTCTGTGGGTGTTGAATGTGGCAGGAGGAAATGAGAGGAGAAGAAAGATGCTTCCTTTGTCATTCCATTCTACAAGGAGGCAGAAGTGCTTCTCTTTTTGTCCCTCTCCTCCCCTTGTCCTTCTGTTGAGTATTTTTGGGCTGCTTTCTTATGAACGGTACATTTCCTATTTTTAATCACACCTGTAACCAAACAAACAGGATAAGGAAATCATTAAATGGGCAAGAAGCATAATTCAAAAACTTTACTAATTAGCACTGATAATTGGCTTTAGTAAAACAAGGAAAGGGATAGAATGGTTTATCCCTTGTAAAGATAAAGCAACCTGGGGCTGGGGATTTAGCTCAGTGGCATAAGCACCTGCCTTGCAAGCAGGCAGTCGTGAGTTCGATCCCTGGTACCGATAAAAATGAAAAAAAGAAAAAAAAAAGATAAAGCAACCTGAGAACTAAATAGCTGTCATTCTTTGTGAAAGGAAACAACTCAATGTCCTGTTCTTGTGTTGCTTTTAGATAAGGGGAAGCACCTTTTTAATGGAATATTCTGTGTGTCAATAATGTTGAATAAGACTTGAGAAGAGGAAGAACCATCATGGTTGGTCTCTTACATCTGAACACATTGCTTTCCATCTTAACACATTATACTTTGGTATATACTTACCATTTGATATCATGTCATGATGAGAACACATTATCTTGATCTCGGTAATTTTTATCTCTAGCCTCACAGTCTGGACCCAGTAGGGAGAAATGGGTAGGTGGATATGACAACCTGCTTTCAAGAGTATCCTCTTGAAACTCTTTTCAAGGGTTGTATCCCATTTCTCCAGTTTTGTGGGTTAATGTGGTTTTTTTTTGGGAGGGTGGTTTTGTTTTTGTGACAGGCTTTACTATGTACCTCAAACTGGCCTCGATCTTGAGATCTCCCTGCCTTAATGTCTCAGGTTCAGAGATTGCAGGCATGTGCCTCCATACTCAGTTTAGGATTAACGTCCAATTTTTTTTTTTATTTTGGTTTATTGAGACAGGGTCTCACTATGTAGCCCAGGTTTGCCTTGAACTCATAGTGATCCTCCTGCCTCAGCCTCCTGAGTGCTGGAATTGAACCCCTATATCTGGTGGATTAATGTCTTTAGAAGTAATTTGAGATTACTTTTGCAAAACGAGACATTGTCATTTCTCCTTTACATTTAGTTCTTGGACCCATCTTACACCTTGATCATGTTCCCCAGGCCTAGGAGTGCTCATACTAGTTTGAAACTTGGTCCCCCTAGAGCCACCCTTCCCTCCCCCGCAAGCCGCCTTTCCATGCCCCTGCCCCTCCCTGTCCATGCGAGAGCCAAGCCCAGGCTTGTGAGCCTGACAAACAGGGAGGGGCTGGGCCTCTCCTCCACACTTTGGCCAGAGGAAAGCCCTGAAGTGTTGAAGGGTAGAGGGTACTATCACAGACTGCAGTTACCCACTATCCACTTCATTCCTAGCACCCCAGTCTTTTCTGTCATCCCCTAACAATGCTATGCACACATAACTCCTATGCACCAAGCAGTATTCAAGAGCTTTTCTTTTCTTTATGATAAAATCCAGATAGGTAGTGCTGATATTCTTTCCCCCAGGTGTTCTGGACACAGTCCTGTCTTTCGGACCTTAGTCCATGTGACTGTTCTAGAGGAACCTACTATGTATCCCCATCCTGTTCATGTGTCCTCATGGGCTTGACCCTAAGCATGTGTGTTCCTCTCATCTACCCATTTAGCTGTTTTCTGATAGCAAATAACAGAGCCAGTCTTAATTCATCCTGCTTGAGGCAATTATGAGCTTGTTGCTTAACAAAACCCTTGTTTTATAGCTATCATTTTGTTGTTATGTTATATGATCTGCTGGCACATAAGGTCTCTTGCTCTCCTGTACTGGCACAGGTTTTATTTTTATTCCCATAAAGTTCTTGCCAACTTTCATGTAGTGTTTCAGTTTGCTGGAAGCAGTATGTTAAGATAACAAGTTATGCAGGCTACCGGCCTAGAGAAACTAGGATTTAAATCCCGGCTTTGCTGTGCCTGGCTATGTGACTTAACCCCTCTGAGCCTCAGTTTCCTCAAACATAAAGCTGGCCTCACAGGACTGCTATAAGGCTTCACTGAGATACTGTGTATAAAACACCTCTTGCAGGAAGTAGTTTGCCAGTGATGCCCATACTCCTAGGAATTGTCACCTCAAACAAGTTTGGCTGCTTTTTATGACTTCAGAAATGGAATAAAAGATTCTCATGTCTGGGTCCAATCTGCTGTTAGGGCTGGAATACTGGAACATCAAGTAGGTACAAATGGTAAAAAGAAAAAAGAATCCACCTAAAATAGTTAAGACTTCACAGTGGGTGATATTTTAGCAAGAATTTAGAAAGAAAATGTGCCATAAATATTTTGCCTGCTAAAAGTGGGGGAAATGGAGTCTGAGCCTGTGAAACTCTGCTGACATAGAAAAGTCTTACCTCTGCCTATAACTTCAAGAGCCACCTAAAGTTCATTAAGATGATAGTATATTTTATTATGACCAGTTTAATATGTGTTTTCATGTATGTGTTTATTATACGTATGAATTCGGGTGAAAGACTTGAATTATTATTCTCTAAATTGGATTGCATTTTCAGTGAGAATCTCCACTGACCCCAAATTCTACCCTTGTTTTGCAGTTTGTTAAGGCGGTTTCTCTTTGCCTTCATTTCTATGCCATGGCAGGAGTCATGGAGTGAACATTAACCTCGTTTTCAGCCCCAGATTGTCAGTTTGTGTGGCTTTCTAGAAAATGTCAGACACCTTTGGTGGATTTCTGTAAGGCCTCTGTGGTTCCTGAAATAATGTGCAAGGACCTGAACTATTTGTGTGTGTCCCTGGAAACTAGGATGAGATATGGCAACTGGAATGGTTTGTTTTTTAGTTTATTTATAAAGAATTCTTGTGGATTTGGAACATTTCCACTTGTGCAGAACACACCTGTGTTTAGCTTTTATTTCCAGTCACTCGAAAATAGCTTTGCGCCTGTGTTCCTGCCGCCCCCATCCCTGTCTTCCTGATTTATGCTCAGAGCATGTTTGGGAAGGTTCAGAAGCCTCGGGATCTGGTTTCCAAGTAGAGAAGCTCCCTGGAGAAGGTCTGAGGACAGCTTGGTGAGAACGAGACCGGGGCTCAGCTGTGACAGTGGCCGCCATCCGATGGTGTGCTTGCCGTGGCTGTTTTCATTTGGGGCAGAATGAGATGATGGGCTCGCTCTTGGCAAACAGCCTTCTGGCCTCAGAGCAACAGTACTGTCCTCACATCCTGCTCTGATCTGGGGGGAAGAGCTTCCCGTTGACCCCTCTGTAAACAAGGATCTTTAGAAATTGCTTATAAAAATAGTTACCATGGGTAACTGCGTCTTTCACCCTTAAACTATTCACAGTGCCTTCTCTTCATTGTTATAAGCTTGTTTGGCAACATCAATATCAACATATGAAAAGGCAGTATTATTGCCAAAATCATGGAGTGGTAGAGATGGGGACTTTGAAGGGGAAAGAAATCATATAGGCCGCCATTGGTGTTTATGGAAGGAAACCAGGAAACCAGTAGATACACCCTAAAGAAGAAGGACACACAGTATTTTGCATAAAGGTGGTTTGTGGCACCTCTGACTCTAGTACTCTAGTCATCTTTCCTTGGACCATAAGGATTATTCCCTAAAGATTGCCAGCAGCAATTTTAATTTGGACCCTGTTCTCATCCTCAATGTTCCTTCGTTCATCCATTGAAAAAGATTTGTGATGTGGTTAGGAGACGTGCTAGGTGCCAGGCGGGAGTGTGTAGACGCGCTGTGGGG